TGTAATCAAGTGATATTAATATTTTTTTTTGTAAGTTGAAAAACTTAAATATATGTTATGTAACGATTGATTGAGATCATAGATATTTAATAATACTAGATTGCCTAATAATTTATTTTCTATATATAAAATTAGAAATATAAGAAGGTATTGAACATTTCTAGATGTCATATTTGTTATTTGAAAAGTCTCGATGAGATGATGTCATATTTAATTCATTGATAATTTCTAATAGTATCCAAAAATCTTGTGAAAAAATAGAATTTTGAAATTAAACTTGAATTATATTTATAAAAATATTAAGAATGAGATAAAGGGGAAAAATAAGTGAAAAACTCGACAAAATTAAAAATAAATAAGCATATTAATGAAAGAAATGGGGTTAATTTGTTCTCTTCTTATGTTGTCCAAGGAAAAAGGAACTAATACAAAGGATTAAATTTACATGGGCTACAAAATGATCATAGTTGGATGGTCACGAATAAAGTAAATGGTTGAAAAGATGAGAAAACAAGACAATAGTTCGATAGTTTGGCTTTTTAGCTGCCAAAGAGATGTTGGTAAAGGGTTAAAGCAATATAAATAGTAAATTTACTAATATACATTACTTATTTTCTTGACTTCTTTATATCTATTATAAATAAAAAAAAAAGGTATGAGCTCCTACACGTGTCACCGCCTGGGAAAAAAAACCCGCTCAAACTAATCCCAGCTTTTTAATTTTTAATTTTATTTTTTTTATAAGTTTTATTCATTTTTCTTTTGTCTAATTTATATTCTAATATTAAAAATAATAATTAATCAAAATAAAATAAAATAAAAATTAAATAAATTGTTGGTTTTATTTATTTTAAAAACGTTTAAAGGTTATAATAGCATTTTTCAATTATAAATGTTATTACATATATATTTTTAATAATATTATAAATACCTTTACAATATTATTTTATTTTTTATCAACAGATAAAAATTTTATACTTTCGATAAATTAATCCCTATTTTTTAGTTTTTTTTTTCTTTTATTCATCTTTCTTTTTCTAATTTATATTCTAATATTAAAAATATTAATTAATTAAAATAAAACAATATCGTAAAATTTTTATAAAATTGTTAGTTATATTTATTTTAAATCCGTTTAAATATTATATTTATCATCGACATTATTATTAAGTGATGGAAAAACATATATAATCAGAATTAAGATTAAGTAACATTATAAGGGTTAGAGGGAGATTAAGTTAGGTTTAATATTAAAATATGCTCTTATTTTATTTTATTTTATTTTATTTTTATATTATGAAGAATCAAGAGGCAAGAGGAGACTCTCTCGAAGATCCACACACATTCTTCGCTTTCTACTAACAAAGGTAAGGAGGAGTGAGAAATCTCACTTTGGGTGTGAAATTGTATATCTGATAGTTGGATTGACTCTAATCCTATATATGTTGTGTGTCAATGTATGAAACATTTTTTTTAAATGTTGTTGTCTCTTGTCCTTACACGTTCTTAATGACAAATTATTTGAATGCATAATCAATTATATGTTTTAGATTATAATTGTACGATTTGACTAAAGAAACTTGTTATGATAATTTGCAAAAATATTAATTGATATGAATAAATTGAGTAATTTGAAATGTTAATTGCATATTATAGAGTAATTTATTTTATTTTTACACATGCAAACTAAAGATATTCTTATTTGATAAGTTAAAAACAAAATTCGTTCAAAGCATAAAACTTATTGAAATGAAATTTATCTCTCTAATAAAATTCTTTTTATACGCACAATTTGAAAATTAATTCTAATAAAATTAGACATGTTTGTTTTCTCGTCCAATTCTATTGAAAAAAAATATGTAAAATAGATTTTCTATTTAATGAAACATTAGAACGTGGAATTTACTCAAAGCAAACACACAATACATCCTATAAGTATATTTAATAAAACCTAAATCCACTACTTCTTTTCCGTTTTTTTTTTCCTCTCTGCCACAAAATTAATTAATCCTTAATCACTTTTTTTTACTGTTTAGAAAATCCTTAATCACTTTTTTTTTACTGTTTAGAAAGCTCTCACTACACTTTCCTTTGACTTAACCATTCAAACAATGCATCAACATTCAACTCTTCCAAAATAAAGTTTTAGTCTCTCAATTAATACATTAGTTTGAAAAAATAATTAAAGAAAAGAAATAAAATATTTATATTAAATAATGATTGAGTTGACATAATTTTATCCAAAAATAAAAAAGTTTTGACTTGAAAGTGTTGGAAAAAAATCTTATAGAAAAATATAATAATTAATATAGTTTTTTTTTTTTTTCATGTATGAACGAAAAATATCCTTCAACCTCTAATTCAAGATAAATTATTTTTTATGCGTAAAAATCATCAAAATAAGTTTTACCTCTCTTAATAAAATCTTCACCATACACAATTATAAAATTGAACGTAATAAAATATTTAATTAATCGTTTAGTCATTAGATATGTTTTAACTTTTCATTTTACTTTCTACGTCTAAAAATTGTTTTAACTTTAATAAGTAATTTTGTAAAGTTTTATTTATGTCTATTTTATAACGATGAGGTGAAAACGGTAAATTGATCAAAGTTTTTATTTTTTTAATTTTATATTTATCTCATAAATATCTTTAATAAAACCTAAATCTATAACTTCTTATTTTTGTTTTCCCTCCCACGAAATTAATTCCTTCTTAATCACTTTTTTTTTCTCCACGACTCAAAGTATGAGTAAGTGAGCACCACTAACCCACGAATCTAGTAGCGAAACTTGGATGAAAAATTTGGGGGTGTCAAATTAATTTTTTTATATATATATGAATTAAATTTTTATTAATATATATAAATATAGAAAAGTTTGGGAGAGCAGTGACTCCCCCTTGTCATAACTAAGATCCGCCTTTGCACGAATCTAAATTGACCCAAACTGATTCAATGAATTCGGATTAGATTTTTTTAGTATTCGAGTCAGACTCAACCCTATCCGATCAAAACTCAACATTATACGAGTCAGGTAACGGGTTTTGTGTTCTCACCTCGTTACCCAACCCGACTTGATCATAATAATAATAATAATGCTTGAATGATCATTTGGTCAGGATAATACTCAATTTTAGTCTTATTTAATAACGAGTTTCGTATTTTAGGTTGATAACATTGTAACAATATAATATATTTATTTTAAATTTTATTTTGTATTAATAAATATTAGTTTTTTTAGTTGATAATAATGTAACAAATTAATAAATTTATTTTAGAATTTAATTTGTATATCATTATTTGTTTTATAAGTTGATAATATTATATTTGCAACAATGTATCAAATGATTTACATATATTTCGATAATATTATATTTGCATAAACCCAACCCAACCCAACCCATTAAGTTTTGATTCGATTGGATAACAAATCCATCCAAACTTGGTCCAACCCGACTCGATTACACCCCTAACTCAAAAAACTATTTAATTATTACCCCTTTCTTTGTCTTGAGTCTCTTGACCACTCAAACTCTTTGCCTTGACCACTCAAACAATACATTAGAATTCAAATACAAAGTTTTTGTCTCCCAATAATGCATTAAGTATTTATTAGTTTGACAGTAAAAATAAAGATAAGAAAAAAAATTGTATCAAATAATAATTAGATTAACCTAATTTTATCTGCATATAATTATTTTGACTTGAAAATATTGAGAAAAAAAATCTATGTAAAGAAAAAAAACTCCAAGAAGAATATAATAAAAGAAGACTTTATTTTTTGCTCATGTGAACTAAAGATATTTTTGATGGATAATTTGAGACTAATTTATTTTGAGACACAAAAATTAGGAGTGTAATCGGATAATGAATCACTTGTAAACCTAACCTACTCAAATCAATTCAACTACATTTTTGTAGGTTAGGTTAGGTCATCAAGTTGGGTTGGATAATTAATTTTTGTTAAGTGATTATAATTAGGTTGGACAATAAGTCAATGAGTTTGTTACTTGATGAATTTAAACCAACTCGACCAATAATAAATTATTAAATTAAATTAAAAATACTACACATAATATACTTTAAACGAATTTATATTGAGTTTTGCTTTAAGTCAATATCAAAGAAATGACTATCACATAAGAAATCATGAAGCAAGAAAAATAATCTAATTCAACTTATTATATAATTTAAAATTTATCACGTTACTGACAGAATATTTGCTTGTTTAAGATATTTATGAGTTCTCATTTATAATTATTGTATTATTATTTGTTCTTTGAATCATATATTAAAATTTGAATCAAGCATATATATATATATATATATTATTGTTTCAAAATTTAAAATGTATATATTTTTTAATTGTTCAACTCCCTGACTAGACTTGACCTAACCTAATTGTAGTCACATTGTTTGAAAAAAGTTCACAAATTCAACCCAACTAAATCCAATCAATTTAATTGAATTGGATACAAAAACATTTTAAACTCAACTTTACTTGTTTATACTTCTAACAAAATTCATGAAAATGATTTTTTTTTCAACAATTTTTTTTTCATAAAAAATGCATGATTATGAAATTGAACATTATATTATATTTACTTATTGATTAAATGTCTCTACAAATGTTAAATTTCATTTCCTATTTCTAAAAAAAAGATTTTTTTAAAAAAATTTATGAGTAATTTTTTAGGCATTAGTCTTTATGTCTTTATTTGATAACAATTTTACACTACTAAAGAATTTAAATATAAGAAGTTACTAGTATGAAGACCAGATTATAATTAATTAATAATGAAACAATTAATAATTAATTATCAATATACAGAAATGAAGGGTAGGAGATAGCGGCAACGCGGCTTTGCCATGGCAAAAGAAAAAAGAGCCCTTGACCATATTAATAATACGAAACAGAAATGGTATGAAATAAAAAAAAGAAAAGAAAAGAAAAGAAAAAAATAATTAGAAGGAAAAAGAAAAGCAGTTAAGCGCTTGCGGAATTTGACCATTTGCCTTAATCCCCAAGGATGCAAGTTGACGGAATGATTACCCAATTTCAAGCTCTTAGGTCGGTCCTTCATATTTGTTCATACCACCGCCTCTTCTTCCGTTACCTTTTAAGCTTCTCTCGTGTCTCTGTTGCTTTTTCTTCCCCCCAAAGTTTTCTGTCTTTACAAAAAAACATGAACACCTATCAACTCTTTTAATTCCCTTCATTCTTTTCCTAACAATCCTCTTTCCCTCCGCGCTATGGAGCAAACCATCAACAATTTCTTGCTCCACGACCCTTTAATTCCCTCCGACTCCGACTCCGACTCCGCTGAGGAACTGCTTTCCGACTGCGAGAGCGGCGTTTCCGGCCACGACTCTCCGTTCGGCCACGGATTCGAACCGCCCAGGGAAGAAGGGGACCACATCTGGACCAAATTCGCTCGGCCCTTGGAACAGAATGGGCTCAAGCCCGAACTGGTGGCTATTGGCAAGAACGCGGCTTCCTCTGTCACGGCCCAAGCCCGTCTCAAGTCCTTTCGGCTTTTCGAGCAAGCCACGGCCGAATCACGCCAAGGCAATGCTAACGTTAAGTTCGCTTGGTACGGTGCGTTTTGCAAGGACGAGTTAACCGACATCGTGAAGCACGGTTTCATGGCCCATGCTCCCGGTAGCGCCCTGCGCCTCTCCGCACTGGATTATCCACTCCCAAGGCACGCATTTCAATTTCACTGTTACATTAGTTATTTTATTTTTTTGTGTATTTTTCAACGGAGTTATGAATGTTGTTTTTTTTAAACAGTGTGCAGAATGCTGCTGTTGACATGGAGGGTTCGCGGCACTTGATTTTGTGTCGCGTGATAGTGGGGAAAACAGAGGTGGTGCCGCGTGGCTCCAATCAACGCTGTTGGAGTTCCGAGGAGTTTGATTCTGGGGTGGATGATCTCGCCAATCCCAAGGAATATGTGATTTGGTGGAATCGTGTCAACACTCATATTTTCCCTGAATATGTCATGAGTATCAAGCTTACTAACTTGAGAGGTTTGGTGTTTGTGTTGTTTGTTTGTTAGTGTTGTGATTAACTCGTGAATATGTTGCTCTGAGACTCTGTGTGTGTGTTTGATTTTGTAGGGTTTGGGGTACCGCGGAGACCGACTTCGCCATGGGTGCCATTCCCAGCTCTGATTGCAGTGCTTTCCAGGGTTTTGCCTCAGCATCACGTTAACGTCATTTCCAAGTTTCACAAAGGATATAGAGTAAGTGCTTTTCGAGTTTCAGACTCTTGTGTTGCTCCATGAAATCGTTTGTTATATATTCATTGAACTTCCTCTGGGTTGGTTGCTTACAGGAAAACAAGATTTCTCGACTTGAGCTGATACAGAAAGTGAGACAAATAGCGGGCGACGAAAGGCTAACTTCTATCATCAAAGCTTTCAAAATGAAGGTAATCTATTCTTATTTAATCTCTTCTTGAGGATATTTTTTCTTAAGTGTTTGTTGTGCCACATTTGTTTGTCTAGGAAGTTACAAACATCAAACATACTGGTCTTGTTTTAGATGAATCTTTTTTTATGATACTCTTATGTTAATCACACCAATAATGTCTTGCATTATGCTTCTGAACTCTTAAAATTGCTGAGCGGTAACTAGGTACCCATTATTTATTTTTGAACTAATGGTAAGTTAGTTGGAGGAGCAGATATCATAAGCCTCGATTACAGTTTTTTGCAAGTGAAAATATTGTGGTATTGAAACACTGGACCGGCAAAATTGTCTATACCTATTGCCTTTTAGTTTTGTGCATATTTTTGCTGGTTGTCGTGTTGGGAGTCAGTCAATTTTACCTTTCACTGTATTTTGGGAAATCAGAAAATGGAAATCTGTATTCATGTAAATATGAAATTTGACCCAGATATAAGCTGGATGTGAATTTGCTTCCTATTTCTGGTTTATTATGATGACCCTGAAATAAATTTAGCTTCCGCGTGAAACAGAGATCATGTTAGTATTAGTTTAACACCATTGTAAAATTGTGTTGGGAATAAGAATATGATTTGACTGTTCAAACTGTGGGATATATACTTGAATTTATTTATTTGGTGGTAGTCACTTGCCAGTGGCCAATGAGTTTTTATACTTAAACCCACTTCTTTGGAAAGAAAGGCGAAGTTGATTAAGAAATTGGTCCAGTTGATTCTGTTGCTCCTTTATGTGTATGAACAATTGTCTGTTTTGTTAATTATTGTAGGCTAATGAAGTGCAAGAGTAAAAGTAGATACAAATTTAGAAACATTTTAAAGAGTTTTTCTACTGAAAAATACTCTTTACTTCAATAGAAAAACTCCCAAAAACACTTCTAACTTGTATTTAAACAAATTTTAAGTAAGATATCATCTATGATCTTTGGTAGGAAACTATATTCCAGAAAAAAAAATAAAAAATAACTTGTGTAGGAAACTGCATAGTTTATAATTATAATGCCTTTTTGATTGTATGAGCTATATTTTTCATGTCTTCTATTCTCCTTTCATTTGGGTATGTATGCATTTTCTGATCTACCTTGGTAAATTTGTCTTTCAGAAAACAGCTGCATTTTGTAAGGAGTGGAAGAACAAACGAGGAGAAAGAGTTGCAACCCCACCACCGCCAGCAGAGTCATCAGAGGGAACAGAATGATTGTTCAATGTTCATATGAGTTCTATTAGCTATTAAACAAAGTGAATAGAATAGTTTAAGAAACCAAACTGACATTGAGGATGCAAATGCAACCACTGCGTGAGATGTAGGGCGTCATTTGAGACCTTTTAAATTGTTTTAGGATGATATACTTATAAAGGTCATTTGTTTAGTGTAGCAGAATAAAAACTTCCTTGGATGATTACATTATTGGTTGAAATAAAATAATACTCCGGCCCTTTATCATAGTGGCTCCTATTTGCCGGCTTCGAAGTTTCCGATATTTTCTTTGCACATGGGCTAAGGGACACAGATGTTCATTGGTTTGGACTAGTTAGATTAACTCTGACCAATCAAATTGAGTTTGTTCAGTTTGGTTTGTCTGTTCAGATCCAAATTGTTTTCGCGCAATTGTGTCTGATTTACAACTTGATAACTTGGTGTTCAAATTAGAATCAACTTAAATTTGTACCAATAAAAAAAGAAACAACAATCACTACTACAATAGTAACATGGTCCAACATTAAAAAAAGAATGCAAAATACAACTAAGCTATTATACCATCAGATTACAGAAAATAAATATCAGAAAATTTCTCTTAAGCAAAGTATTGGTTGGGCCTGCCATTAGTAAAAAAAAATAGTGCATCTTTATATTTTGATTTAACCCATCTCCATGTCCTGATTTTGATAAGTTCAAACCGATGAAACACCAATACTTCAATTTGTTTCACGTATCCGTATCCGATACGTATCGGATACGATATTCTTGGATACTTCACCGATACTTGTCAATAAAGTATCTTAGCTTTTAAAAATATTATGAATTTTTTTTTTCCATTCCGATACTCTCAGATATTTCACCGATACTTATTGATGATGCGCATCGATAAAGTATTCAAATTTTTGAAAAATTATGAATATCCATTACAGCTAAATAAGATATATAAACATGTTTAATATAGAAACATAGAAATATTGTTCCTTGATGAACTGTAAATGGAAATTGTCTTCTATATAAATAATTTTAAGAAAGGAATGAAATTGGTAATATTATTTTTATTTGTAAATAATAAAAAGTAATTTATGATGAAATGATTTATAATTTATTTATTTTTAGTAATGTACAATAAGTATGTTTTTAATTTGAATTTGCAAAATAACAATTATATATTTAATGTTTATGAATTTTGATCAAAATTACAAGTACATACTTATTATATTATATGAACATTGATACATATAATGAAACGTATCTTATAAATATCGTATCCTATATATTTTAAAATAATGCGTATGGTATCGATACATCATTGGTTCAAACACATCATTCACAGATGGGTTAATCCCTCTGAAAAGCTTCTGATTCCGACACGACCATAATGGTCAAAGAGTTGCAATCCAGATTACCATACATGCTTTACTTTAAAACTTCTAGCAATTCCCAAATGATTAAAAAAATGTGGTTCACAGTCAGAGGGTAAAGATTGCTGACAAGCCCACCTATTATAGCATTTTTGCCAAACTTGATAAGTGAAAAGGCACCTAAATAACAGATGATCGACATTTTCGGTCTCTAGATTACAGAAAAGGACAGGAAATGTCCACATCATCATTTACAATTCCTCTTTTTATTAGTTGGTCCTTTATCTGAATTCTTTTGTGAACAACTCTCCAAGTAAACACTATTGTCTTAGATGGAACTTTTAGCTTCCATAACATTTAGAACAAACCATTTGTATTGTTACTTGTCCCACCTTGCAACAAATGATAGACAACACTAACTGAATACGATGCTTCTGATGCTACATTCCAACACCAACTATCTTCTTTCTCCCTTACTGGAACCTTTAAGTTTATAACATCCAACAACTATATGATCAACTGCTCCTCCCAAACCATGCACTCCCTTCTCCATGGCAAATTCCATTTCCATTCTGATTGATCCCAATCCCCTATATCAGAAACAAAAACTAATTTTGACGATGACAGAGAATACAGTCTAGGAAACAAGCTTTCAGTGGTTGATTAACTGTCCACAAATCATCCCAAAATCTGAACGTGTTGGGATTCATCCCAAGTCCCGCATCTGTAAAATGAAGGAACATTGGCTAGTTTATAAGGGTGTCCACCATTCCATATAGTATGAGGCTTTTTGGGAAGGAGCCCAAAAACAAAACCGTGCGGGCCTAGCCCAAAGCGGACAATATCATACTATGGTGGAGCAACAGGTGGACTATCGGGCCAAATAAGTGGTATCAGAGCCAACGGTTCGGCTGGGTTTGATGGCGGGAAGACCCTCAGTGTTATGACTATGGTGGAGCAACAGGTGGACTGTCGGGCCCAACAGAACGAATTGCCAATGCCAAGAGAACAAGATAGTCCCTCCCTAAACCAGCTTACTGCTACATGCTCATTAGACACAGATAAAAGATCTTTCCACCACTGTGATAATTTAGGTTGGATGCCATAAGGTACATTAATTCCCATATTTGGATCGTAAAACTCTAACCCAAAGTGCCCTCCTTTCACATAAAATCCTCCATCTACATTTGCACACAAGAGCTTTATTAAAATTAAAAACATCACGAATTCCTAATCCAAGCAATGTTCCTCTCCCCCTCACTTGACCCCTAAAAAAAATTTCGTTTAAGGCTAATTGTCTCATTTGCTACTTTAGTTGGAATCTTGTAAAAAGACATGAAGAATAATGGAATGGATGATAATGAAGAATTAATTAAACTTACCCTCCCACCAATGGATAGATTCCGATATCTCCAAGGAGTCAATTTCTTTCTCATCTTTTGTAAAAGAGGCTGCCATACTTCCTTACGTCTTGCATTGACCCTAACTGGTATCCCTAAATAAGAGAATGGAAAAACAAGCTTCCCACAGTTCAATAAACCAACAAATCTATCCAGCATATGATTTTGAATACTCAAAGCCCCAAGTGAACTTTTGTGGAAGTTCACCCTTAGGCCAGAAACAACCTCAAAATAGCAAAGGATACTCTTTAATACAATTACATTTTCCAACTTGAGCTCAAGAACGATCAGTGTGTCGTCAGCAAATTGTTGAATATTAATATGAATTTTATTCTCTCCCACCTCAAAACCAGAAATCATCTTCTTCTGAACTGCTTCTCTAACCATTCCACCAAGTCCTTCTGCTAGCAATAGGAACAGAAAGGTGTCATTGGGTCAACCTGGCACAGGCCCCTATTAACAGAAAATTATCCTGTTGCACTACCATTTATAAGTACTGAAACCGATGCAAAAGAGAGACACCCCTCTTAACCCAATTTATCCAAACCGCACTGAATCCCATCCTATTCATCATATAAAATAAGAATGACCAACTTACAGAATCATAAGTTTTCTCAAAATCCACTTTAAACACCAACAAAGGCTTCCTCTTACGTTTGTGTTGTTTTTGTCATAAGGGAAGTATGCACATGAAATAGTTCATGTATAAGGAACTTGTTTATCATTGTTGAAAATTAGTTTGTATATTTATGTGTGTGTTACTTCTATCATGAGAGAAGTATGCACTAATTTAGTTCAGACTTAGAGAATTTGCGATAATTATCATGGTTAGGAATTGGTTAGCAAGATTATTCTTTATTGTGTGGGGGGATGTTTTGTAACATGATGTACATGTACTGCAACAACTCACTCCTTGTGATTGTTTTTGTTGATTAATTAATAAAATTCACCTTTTTCTTAAAAAAAACCTTAATTAACTACATATTTTCTTTTTAAAATAAATATTCAAATGTGTTAAATAGTACGTAAAGAGTTTATATATCTTAACCAATTAAAATTTTCCTGGTACGAGAGATTTAGATAATCTAGATAAGTTCTTTAAAATATACCTTTAGTATAATTTAAATTAAGGATATACATATTTTATTTCTTTCTCGTTTTACAATTTACATTTATGGGTTACAGTTTACAATTTTTTTTAACATACATAAATTAGATCCATGCATGTCGTGAAAACACATCGCTATGTGTAGTTATTTCAAATAGTATGAAATGATAAATCCATTCCACGCCTCATCATTCAATAAAATCATTAAAAAAAAAACTTGATATTATGCAGGTTTATTTTAACCCTAACAACTTTTTTTTTCATCAAATAAAAAATATTGCAACAAACAACGATAATAAAAATCAAATACAAATTATTATATATCTATCCAGATATCTTATAAATTCGGAAGAATATAAAAAAGACAAATTAATTTATCTCATCATCAAAATCAAATTTACTATATTTATGTAAACACTTATCTTAAATTTAAGTATTTTTTTAACAATACTTAAAGAAATTAAAATATGATCAAAAAATAATATAGACTATACTACCTAAAATAATAATTAAAAATGCTAATAAAAGATAGAACAACTATAATTGAATAAATGAAAGTGTAATTTAGAATTTTAGATTAAGATTTTATACTATAATATAAGATATTATCATTTAAATAACTATATATACATAGAGATGCGGAGCAAAGCAAACGGAGTAGAGTGAGTGATAAATATTTTTTATATAGGATTTTTATGATATAATTGTGTTTAATTTAAGTAAGTTGTGTGAATATTGTGTTTAATAGTGTTTTAGTTAAACTCCAAGCGTGTAGTTTAATAGTAGGGGTTGATCCATACTTAAACAAGGTCAAGGATACTCCAGGGACGAACAAAAAAAAATAGTGTTTTAGTCATATTAATGTTCATAATATAAGTTGTGTTTTTGTGAGTATAGGATAAGAAAAGGAAGTTAATTGGGTGGATTAGTAGTTTAAAGAGTTGATAATATAAGTTATGTTTTTGTGAGTATTTAAGATAAAAAAAAGGAAGTTAATTGGACGAATCAGGTGTGGAGAGAATTGGAAGTAGAACTTAAGCACCAAAGTTGGAGTTGAGCATGATTCGGGATAGAGATTGAGCAAAGAAAATTAATTGTCTTCCATGCTTGGTGCCAACAACTTAGCGCTAAGCGTGAATCACCTAGAAGGAAAATTCTACTTTGAACATTGACTTAAGTTAGACTAATTAGCAGTTAGTGTTGGAACCTATAACTGTTACAAATTATAATTGTATATACATTAGTTTTAGGAGGTTTAATAAAATGTTAGGATGTTTTTGAAAATGAGATATATGATAGGAACTCTGAAATACATTGATTCCCACTTGTTCTTCCATTCTTCCTTGTATTTCTCTTCTTTGTCATGACTAGGAATAGTTAAACTCC